TTTCTTTATATATTAATATTAATATTAATAAAATATGGCAGGTCACCAAAAATATATTTTTCAATTAAATAAAAAAACAGCAGGTCACCAAAAACATATTTTTCAATTAAATAAAAAAACGGCAGGTCACCAAAAATATTATCAAAAATAAAAAATTTTTTTTACATTAATAATATTATTAACATCAGGATCTTAAATTATAAAATTGCAATGTAAAACGGGTAAGGAAGGGGATTAATGAATTCAATTTTTTATTCCAAATATTTGTGCTAAAAAAGTTTTTTTTACAATACCAATAAACAATAAACAAAGAGCATTATAGTAATATTATTGTGGCGCTTAACAAATTTCCATCGCATGAATTTCTTTGTGATATTATTTATAGAACTTGAAAGCCTTGATTCACAAGTCACAGTTTTTGCCGTAAAATAGCAATGGTAATAGAGGGTTCATTTTGTACAACGATGAATTTGAAAAGACCAAATCCGGTTTTTGATTGAGAAGGGATTTTAATATTTAGTTATTTTATAGATTCGTGAAAATGGTCATCCTTTGATAGTGATGTATTTAATTGTTTTGGAAATAGTGAAATTCAAACCTGCTAAAGGAAGCGAGGTCTATTAATACATCTGATTGTTTTGTTGGCCTAATTAAGCTTGCTGTCACCATCAATGGAGATAGGAGTGGGTGATTTTAAATTTAACAAATAATTATTTCATCTTTTGTATTGTATTTTAAGGTAAAGGTTTAAAGGCCATGTACTAAGTATCAATGTGGATGAAGGCAATGTTCTATTATAATTGCAAGAATTGGCAGTTTGTGAACGAAATTTTCGATTTTAAAATGTATACATGGTGATTATAGAACAAGACTAAGTATCAATGAGATTGAGGCAATGCGTAAAATATTATAGCAATTAATATGAAATAATAATTTGATTCAACACTAATAATTAATTATATAAACCAATTTGGTAAATTTGATAACAATTAAATGGTTCAATTAATATTGGTAATATGATACACACTCTTTAGTTCAAAGTATTATATTAATCTAGTTTAAAAATGAAAAAAATAGTTTTTTTAATATGTTGAATTTTACCAATTCCCATTTGGCTGGTTCTGCGACACATCCACAAAATGAAATTACCAATTTTTTAATTGTAATAATTCCTAAATTAAAAATGACGTGAACGTCAGCTCGCTATATCGTAGCATGCAGAAAGGGCAAACGTCTGATCAGTGGAATACATGGTAGCGCGACTGTATTGTAAAAACAAACAGACACGCTTCAAGGTGGCTTTAACCACTCGCTCAGTCCGCTCAATTAAAAATAGGATACCGTTTAGTAATTTGGTTTGACAAATTACAGATTACAACTTATGCTAAGTAGAACAATCCTGTTTTTACCAATGATGCTTCCTCTTTTGGAGAATAGATTCGTCATATATATATATATATATATATATAATTTATTTCATTCAACATCCTAAATTATTAAGTGACTGTTGAAGAATGAATGTGTAGTTTGATACAAAAATAAATAATTAGCCATTGTCATAAAAAATTAAAACATTAACTTGCACAGTTCAATAAAAATTATAAATAAATTATAAACTAAAACCAAAAGTTTAAAAAACAATATTTTTAATGAATGAACAAATATAAAATTATACACAATATTCCCGGGTTGTGTAGCACTTCTCACATAAATCTCTTCTATGACCTCCAGAAATTCCACGCATTCCTGGTGGTCCAGCGCCTCTCTCTCCTAATTGATAATAGTTTAAAAGCTTTGCACTATGATCACTTAGACACCCTGAACATCTTTGATACATTCGCAATTTTGAATTCACCAATAGGTTAGCATCAACACCTTCTAAAAACTTCTTGAAAGAAATCCACGTATATGCAGAAGGCCATGAATTTCCACAATCATTACATTCCCAGTTTCCAAATACTCTATAGTAAGTTTTCCCTTTAAGTCGATTATACCATTTATGTTCGTCATAAACAAAAACTCTTTCAAATTCATCATTATCATTATTGTTTGACATTTTTTTGGATTTTAAATTTGCAAATTTGCAAAAAGAATGATTATCTATATAAGAGAAATAAAGGAGTTACAAAAAAATATATTTGTGCAATTATTTAGTTATTAATAATATAAAACAAAAGTAGAAAAGTACCATTAAGTGTTTTTTTTGGAAATTGATCTTGTTTTTGATGTGAAACACAAATTCCCTAATAGATGAAACAAAAACACCAAAATTTTAATTTATTGATTCTAATTAATATATACCATCATCAAATAATGAACGTTATGTACGTACTCTGACAAAATAATCAAGCGAGTTTATAATTTTTTTACATCAATGATATTAAATTCTTTTTTTTTTTTTTCTTGAAGGTGACAACAAATATACTCTTAGAATTTGGAGATTTATAGATGCATTTAAATATTCCATTAATTAAACAGTAGTGGAGGCGTATAATATATGAAAAGGCCCAATTTGTGGATTGGTTTGAATGATTTGTCACTATCACGTAAAACGATCGATATCTAATGACGCATTAATATTAATTGAATTTTGTTTTATTATTATTCGCTTTATTTGTTTTATTTGTTTTATTTGTTTATTCGCTCAAATTATTTGAATTACTTGAAAATTATTTTTTACTCAAATTATTCGTTTCATTCGAATAGAAACCTTATCTATTTACTACTCAAGGTTATGATATTATTTTTAGTATTGCAATTAAGAAAACTCCTCACAAAGAGCTTTGTTATTTTACAATCTTTAGACGATTTAAGAAGGGGTTTTTTATATTTCTTTCTTGTAATAATGGTAATATTATTATTATTTAATTCCACCCCACCACTACCAAAAATTCGTTGTCCGTTGTAATTATTATATTAATAACGTTTTTTATATATTTATTATTCATTTTATCATGTATTTATTAACATTAGTTGTTAAATATCTGGTTAGCGCTAGGTCAATATCGAAAAAAGACGATAGCCACTGGATCCGTTGTCTTTAATCGATAAAATTATCTTGAACACAAGAGTTATCTTTAGTTGATAAAGTTGTCTCAAAATCGTTTTACCCTACAAAAAGTGTCCAAGTCTACAAAATTAGTTTATAATTAATTAATCCGAATGTATATTAATATAATAATAAACAATTTGAATCTCGTGTATTTTAAAGATACCTTTTTCTTGGACGAAAGAAAATAACTATATTAAATAAAACCTAAAAATCATTCACTGGTAAAGCTTATTCACTCAATTTATTTTATTGCGATCAATTATTTCGCTTTCCCGCCTAATAACAATAACAACAGTAATAACTATCTCTTAAACGGTCAGAGTATTCTTTAATGGTAACACAAATTAAAGTTTTGGTCAATTTTAACGATCAGCAAAGTAAAAACAGTCAATCGACCAACTTTTAAAGAAGATTTTACAAAAACCACAAGGACAACGACTGGATTTTTATTCATAGAAAAAATTTTTTATATCAGAAAATTTTATCGGCTATCAATGGCCGATTAACCGTTTAAGGGATAATAATTGGAAATTTATATCAATAAGTGGGACGCTCTAGGAAAATCGGGTTTCGAGACTTTTGATCAAAAAAAATTTTTTTACATAATATTAAACTATAACATCATAATTGGTGAAAAAATTAGATGCTGTTTACTTGGTACAAAAATAAATTCTTGGGGCAACCAAAATTTTCTTTGAATCGAATTTAAAAATGATAAATAATTTAATAAATTTAATAGTCACGGAGACCCCATAAAGTGTTACTAATTCATAATTTTTATTATAATTTTAACCCTTCTATAAAATTTAAATTTTAAAAGGAAAATGGATATATGCTTTATTATTATTAATCAATATTATACGGAAATCGTAGTTATCCACAAAAAATATCCGCAATCGCCAAATCGATTTCTAAATAAGGATAACATGCATTCAACCCACCAATAAAATTGGATATTCTCATGATGCTGCGCAAAATTGCGGAAAAATACATGATTATAATAATAATAATAATAATAATCGTTTTCACAAAAAAAAATTTTTTTTATATATTACTACGAATCGATCATTCAAATTTATTTATTGCAAATTATTTTGCTCGCGACCAATAATTATAATAATTGGATTTTTATTTTTATAAACATCAATAAATACGAATCAATAAAATACAAATCAATAAATA